AAAAAAAAAAGATATAAAATATTGATTGAATGAAAAAGAATGAAAGATGAATTTGAGCACTTTTTAAAATATTTACGTAATACATATCCGTTGTTTACGTAATACAGCGTTATTTCCATGTTTGCACTATCTCATCCATTGTCTTTTTAATTTTTAACGTATAATCTGATGAAGTAAAAAAAAAATATTAATAAGAGGTCAAACCACAATAATGAATGACTGAAACGAAAAAGAGAGAAGAGAGACAAAGGGGAAAGAAAATATTATATCAGTAGGAATTGTTGGAGAAAAAAAAAGACAGGAAAGACAGGTGACCTTTGATATTTCTCTTCTACAGTAACAAAAAATAATTATTGTGTAAACAAAAACGATCATTTCAGCCTAAATTGTAGCTTAATTTAGAGAAGGATAGCAATATTAACTTAATTAAGATGAAGTAAAAAGGGAAAGAAGAAAGAGACAGAAAGAGAGTATGGATTGAAAATTTGATTTTTAGAATTCTACATTTAAGTAAATGTTACGGTAAGGTATTATAAACATAGACAGAAAAAAAAAACAGCCCGTCATTCGTGAATTGCCAACAAAAGCATTGCTTCATTTAATTGTTTATGCATGTATGTATTTGTGTATGTGTGTGTGTGTGTGTATGTGTGTATGTGTATGTGTGTNNNTGTGTATGTGTGTGTGTATGTGTGTGTGTGTGTGTGTGTGTTATAGGCCGCACAAAAAGATAATGATTATAAAAGAGACAGAGAGAAGGTGCACATCCTGCAAGGAATTACTTTTTAATCGAAATATATTTTAATAAGCAAAAAAAAATTGAAAAGTTTTTTTTTTTTAAAAAAAAAAATAATAAATTTGCAAAATTTTTTAGAAATGAAATTGAAATATTGCAAGAATGCTAAGATGTCCGAGTGTTCGTTAAGTGATCATATAGCGGTAGTGGTAGTAATTTGGTTTGTCTGTCTCGACCAGACATCGTCAATAATTATGCCAATGCTTTCGAGCTATCCAGTTTGCAGACAACTTCGCATATTGCGATGTACACACATACATGTACACACACACAGAAATAGACAGACAGACAGACAGACAGACATATTAAATGGGTATTAAATTATTTGAATTTAAATAAAAACTATTAACGAATAATCTATTAGAAAAAAGATAGAAATAGAGAGAGAGAAAGGAAACGAAAAGTCAGTGAAAATAATGAATTCTAGATGGTGTTAGATGGACGAATAAATGATAGTGATAGAAGAAGAGAGTTGAGGGAAAAGGAATGAGTGACCGGAAAATGATCCTTTCGGAAATGATATAATTAATCGAGAAATTGCTATTTCGGAAATGATGAGTGACCCTGAAGTGGCCTATTACTGATCAATAAGTTGCACGCGATAATTTATTGATCAAATTTTATAAGAATATCGATTGAAGAGACGATAACTATTCGATATTAATAGAAGGAAAGAAGGAAATGTTAGCATAAGATTTAATAGAATGAAGTCTCTATATGCTAAGCAGAATTTACTGCTACTCACTGCTTCGTTGCAATGAATGTTATTTCTGTAGATGAATAGAATATTATCGATATGTAAATTATACAATTATGTAATATTAATTTTGTCATATATTCTCGCATTTTGTAATCAATGGTTATTATTTTTATCATGACTATTATTATGATTTATTATTACTATGATTTATTATTATTATGATTTATTATTATTGTGATTTATTATTATCATGATTTGTTATTATTATGATTTATTATTATCATGATTTGTTATTATTATGATTTATTATTATCATGATTTGTTATTATTATGATTT